TCTCAGGCTTCTCTCTGGAGCTCTAGTAACAACAGGTCGGTGAGCCAATCAGAAGAGAGGAGGCTCTGAGCCTCTCTTCTGATTGGCTGACTGTTTTCTGACTGAGCCAATAAAAATAAAGCAGATCTCAGGTAAAAACACTCAGAGAAACCAAATCCTGCAAGGTTTGGATGGTGGGTCCAGGTGGGCGGGACTTGGTGACTGCTTTGTTGTGACATCACAAAGTTCCAGAAGTCCTGACGGCTGGTTTTAAGGCTCAGTTTCTGAATACAGGCTGTGTGCATTTCTCTGTGGACTGAGGCTTTGATACTTTCACAGTATTAATATAGAAGCTAGACCTGATCTATAATCACACTACACATGGACACAGACCTTTACACTGTGTGGACACAGTGGAGCATTTAGCAGCTAAGGAGGAGCTGGTGGAGACCAAACAGAGCTAAAAGAGAGGGAACACTGGACTGAGATTCATCACGTGACACAAACACCACAAGCCAACTCAAGTTAATATATCAGATATGAGGTTTTCCACCTTATTAATGTTCAGGATTAGGAAAATACTGCTGCCATTGACTTGTGTTTTGTTATATTTATTGTCTAAATGTACATATTATTTATCTTTTTTAAGTACTTGTTACTGACATTTTGCTGTATTTTTTCTTTCTTGTACTATCACTGCAAATGTCCCCACTGTGGGACTAATACAGGAATATCTTGTCTCATCTGGTCACAGTAAAAAACTAAAAAATTCCATTGGCACTGGATGTAAATAATTAGGGATGAAATCGTCCGATATTAACCCATATGAACAGTAACTCAAGTTTGTACATGTGTAGAAAAGATTTGTATTTGTCTAAAAGAAAACCCTTGAATTTCTCCTGCAGATTTATTTCACAGCTTTAAAAAGGTTGATATACAGCCACAAACTTTACAAGCTGATGATCACAGAGAGACATCAGCTCATGTGTTACTAATGTAAATTCAGATTCACTTCGTTGCTTCGTCCTATAGGTTGTTGTACATCTGGACCCTCGTCATGACGATGTTGTCGACCTTAACACAAATAACCACAGAGTTTCCCAGAGCTCTCAGCATCTGTCCACTCTCCGCCGCCTGTCCCTCTTTGATGAAGGAGCGTCCTGACGTCCCAGTGGGACGGCAGCGTTAATGCTAAGAGACAGATACCTCGTTAGCATGATAGCATCTGCCCCAGGACAAACATCTATTGTTAGCATGATAGCGTGGCCCCAGAGGGAATAGTTATTTCCAGTGCTAGCCCGCTCAGAGGGGACTGCGCTCGTTGTTAGCATGTTAGCGCCTGGCCACAGGGAGCTGGAGCTGCAGCAAGGACACACAGTGAGAACAGACGAGGACGTCCGTCAGCACAGACGGTGTGAGGCTCATTTAATACTGACTTATTGTTGCTGTTCATTTAACATCAGGATTAAACAGGTTTGAAAGGGATGAGATGGATGTTTCAGGATGAGGACACACTGAGTTTGAGTGGCTCAAATGTTTCGTCTTCAGTTTAATTTTAAAACCTGAAAAAAGAATAATTTTTATTCCTCAGAGCAGCAGCCATGTTGTTTTCGGGTTGTCCATACATCCCTTCTTGTGGACCCGATACCTCAGTAACGCCTCGATGGAACTTCTTCAAATTTGAAACAAACATTCACTTGGACTCAAAGATGAACTGATTAGATTTTGGTGGTCAAAGGTCAAAGGTCAGTGTGACCTCACAAAACACTTTTTAGCCATAACTCAAGACTTCACAGCAATTATGACAAAATTTCACTCAAATGTTTAATATTTTCTACGACTCTGGATAAACAGGGATCTAACCTGAAACTAGTCCAAGTGGCGGAGGGATACGACCACGAGGAGGTGATTTTCCTTTTTGTTTTCAGCAGAAACGAGCTGTGAATTGACACCATCCATTTTTAAGTTGATTTTAGTGAACAGTTGTTTCCACCTCCAGCAGCTACAGATCAACATGGTGATTCATGTGTTGTGGTCATTCCAGTGTTCCCGCTCTTTTAGCTCTGTGTTTGGTCTCCACCAGCTCCCGAGGGAATTATCTGCTTGTTTCATTAAGAAAACTTTATGGAGAGCTTCTGTTTCGAGGGTGCGTTTGTTTGATTGACAGGTGTCTCAGCCTATCACCCTCAGCCTCTTGCTCACACGTCCTCATTTCTCTTCAGCTCCGCTCGGGCGTCACCGCTCTCTGTCCAAATGAGGATTTTCTGGGCGATGACACAGATACGGCGGACATGTTTTCACACAGTCTGGATGCGATTGTGCCCAGAAGACCATAAAATGAGACATTGATTCAGAGAATGACTCGTGGTGCCTCGGCAGCGAGTATTATTTTGTCTTAAGACTTAATCCCTGACTGTGAAGGAGCTCTGCGTGAAGAGTAATTTGATTACAGCCATTGTGTGCGCAGGGATTTACCCTGTGGAAGCCTTTTGTGTGAAACAGGAAACTGCACTTTATCAGCCACACAGCAGCAGATAAGTGAGCGGCAGAGACGACGTCTGTCTGCCGTGAAGATAAGAAGACTTTATCATCTCTTAGCTTTTTACCAAACACAGATTCTGCTCTTCTGTATCTGCACACAGATTTAAGAAGAAGAAGAAAAAGAAAAAAAAACAGACAAAAGCAGATAAAATAATAAACGTGTGACAAATGACGTTCAGAAATCACAGGCAGGTCAGGGACGAGTGTGTGTGTTGGTTTGAATACGAACTTTAAATAACAAGATTGATATCTGGAGTAAATGAAGCTGAGGTACAGTGTGAGTGTAAGATATGAACTGGATCTTACTTTGGGTTTGTTTGGTGACCTCGATTTCTGGGTAAAAAAAAAAAAAGGAAAAAGAAAAGGAACTGGAGCTTGAAAACAAGAGAGACAACAAGACAAGAGACATTAGTGGACAGAGAGAGACGTAAAGAAGGAGGACAGAAGGTGGATGTCAGGGAGGAGGATGGAGGGATGCATACTGACAGAGAGAGAGAGAGATAGAGAGAGGAGTGGGTGCCAGAGGTGTGTTAGAGCCAGAAACACAACCAGGAAGTAACAACAAAGGTCTCAGCTTCACTATTTTTCCATTGGAGGAATAGAAGAACCATGTTGACCACAAACCAGGGAATTCTGGGTAAATGATTTAGAAACCAAGCTGGGTTCGGTTGGATCATTTTACAACTTTGTTTGATTAGAAATCGATTCACTTTTCTTGTCCACACTTTACATGTTCGCTGCCGTGATTTCCTGCATGAATCAGAATCAGAAAACTTTATTGATCCCAGCGGGAAATTAGGAAGACTTACAGCAAAGAATATAAAATATGAAGTAGATCATAAGATAAAGATAAAAATAAAGATGCATATACACAAATACATATATATATACAAAAAAATATATACGTAAATATAAAAGATATGTCCTAACTATGATATATAAAAGAGAAAAACATGGAAGTATATGTTTTGAAATTTTTTAAATTGCATCTGCGCGTCAGATACTTGCATACATACATATGTAATAACACTTCCACAGGGAAGCGCTGTGCTGCCAGTTTTTATTTCAGTAGCAACATTTGGGAATAAAAACAAGCTGCACACTTACAGAGCAAAGCAAGTCAGCAACAAGACTTTTATAAAAGAAAAAGAAACACAAGAGAAAATACAAAGACTCTTTTAGGTAAGGTTTAAACAAATGTAATAAAATAAAAGCTAAAATAGAATAAAGAAAGATATAGAGCAGTGGAACATCTGAATAAACTGTCCCAAATTTATCTTAATAAAAGTCTGCAGCCCCGAGTTAAAACAAAAAGAAAAACAGTTGTGAAGCTGAGTTTGTTCTGTGAGTTTGTTCCAGCAGATTAAAAAGTGTTTGCTGCTTCTCTGTGGTCACTTTGACCAGAGCGGAAGAGGCTTTGTTTTATCCGCACTGTCTGTTTTACTGTTGAGGTAGATTTGTCTCGAACATATCGACAATCGTTGAGTAAATGTTTGATCTGTAAATATAAAACACCTTCTACAAACACAAAAGTTACATTTCTAAACTCAAAAAATATCCTGCAAATGTAAAACGGACAAATTCCACAAATAAAAACATTTTTAGAAACAAATCACGTGATCGCCTCATGACAACGCCATTTTCTGCTTTTCAAAGTAAGAGCATGCAGTCTTCTTTTAGCTGTTTTTTTTTCTTGTCGACCTGTTCACCCAAATAATATTGAGACAAATCTACCTCCATATATTACAGTTCATCCTCAGGGAACCATGAGTATCTGTACACAGTGTGATGAATAGTTAGTCGATATATTTCAGTGGACGACCAGATGAAAAAAGAAAACGTGTGTCAGCTGATTGTTATTTTTCAAACAGCATCAGAAAAGAGCTGTCAGTTAATTTTGGAGTCACGGCTGCTTCCAGTCCGGTGCTTTTAATTCTGTTGTTTGTGTTCGGATCAGTTATATTTGGATTTTCCACTCATTGTTTCAATACGGATTAAACTGGGAACAATATAAATATCTACAGATGCTCTGTGACGAGCAGTGGGCTTAATGCCTTCCCAAAACGTCACCAGGATGTACAGAACACGGTATGAACTGAATACAGATCATCCTTTGGTTTGGTGCTTCTAGGTCTGTTGGACGTAATCAGGTTTTTTTGGGTTCCTCGTGGGCTTTTTGCTCCATTTCACCTTTTTATATCGACGTGTTTGAGTTTTGGAGAAACGTGATAAATAAAAAAAAAAAGATAAATAATATAATGTAATATGTAGAATCAGACAATTAATATACAAAACACAAGGAAACAGCAGCAGATCAGTGATAATGAAGAGATGAATGGATGATAAAAATAACAGCAGTCTTGTGGTTACGAAGACTCATTTCCAACAGCACATGTGAGGTTACCATTCAGCCAATCAGGAGAGTTTGTGACACGACGACCTCTGTTTTAATGATCCTCTCTCTCTCTTTTCGTTCCCAGTCTGCTCCCAGTTCTCGAAGGGCGTGTACGCCATCATGGGCCTGTACGACCGGCGGACGGTCAACATGCTGATGTCTTTCTGCGGCTCGCTTCACGTCTGCTTCGTCACGCCGTCCTTCCCCGTCCAGACCAACAACCAGTTCGTCCTGCAGCTGCGGCCCCAGCTGCAGGAGCCCCTCATGGCCCTGCTGGAGCACTTCTACTGGACCAGGTTCGTCTACATGTACAGCTCCGACTCAGGTGAGCACAAGCAGACGCCATTCACACTCGTTTACACCACGAAACGCAGTTTAACCTCTGCAGAATACAGTCTTCATTCTCTTCATCCTGTCAGCCGCTCACAGGTTCTCTCTCAGAGACACAAACTTTGAGTCAAACTTCACTTCGTCGACTCAGACAGACAAACAAACAAACAAAGAGAATTAACAAAAAGGGCAGTTAGCTCTGTCATTTCCCGCCTCCCTCAGTCGGGTCTCGCGTCTCCCTGCGGCCTTCGATCTGACGTTCTAGTCCATTTGACAGTCGGTGGCAGACTCTGTCTAATCTTATTGCCTTTTACATCTGCCCAGGAACCATTGGTGGAAGTCTGTGTGGTGTAATAGTGCGTAACCGTCTGCCTCGCCATGGCAGTCTGTCTAATGTTATTGCTCCTCAACATCTGCTGGGGAGACATTAGCTGTTTGTGGGAGGCAGAGGGGATTTCCTGAGGCCCAGAGCCTCGAACACAGCTTTAGTTTATGTCCACTATCAACGTCTGGTGACGGGAGGGAAGGGATTAAAAAACACACGACGTCTGAAGAAGCGACGTTTTCACAAGCAGCAGAAGCACTTTTCACAGCTGGAATCGGTCTGAAGGAGAGAAGAGACACGAGGAAACAGGTGAGGAGCTGGGGAATGTTTTAAAGGAGAGAATAAAAGAAGTAGAAGGTGTTACTGTTCTGCAGTCGACTTCTCAGACCTTTGTACCACCTGCACAAACGTCCATTTAATGCTGCTTAATAAATCAACATCGGTCAACCTGAACGACCACAGACTGTAAATAAAGATGGACGCAGCCTCTGTGACTCAGAGTGAGCTGCTCCACCATCGCCATCTTGACAGTGCCTGACTCCACCCCCTAACTCCCAGCTAATCCAAATATGGACAAAGAGGAGGGGCCTGTGTGGAGCTGAGACTCTGGTTCATGTCAGATTGTGGCGAGCATACGCTCGCTCACCTGTCACTCAAAGAGGCCACGCCCTGAATTCTCCATAACTCTCCTTAATAAAATGTTCTCTCCTCTCCTCACTTGACTCCCCTCAGTAAACAGTGACTGCCTATTCTCTGCTCGGTTGCAGGTAGATAACTCACTGCAACAGACTATAATACCTGTGTGTGTGTGTGTGTGTGTGTGTGTGTCTGTGTGTGTGTGTGTGTGTGTGTGTGTCTGTGTGTGTGTGTGTGTGTGTGTGTGTCTGTGTGTGTGTGTGTGTGTGTGTGTGTCTGTGTGTGTGTGTGTGTGTGTGTGTGTCTGTGTGTGTGTGTGTGTGTGTGTGTGTCTGTGTGTGTGTGTGTGTGTGTGTGTGTCTGTGTGTGTGTGTGTGTGTGTGTGTGTCTGTGTGTGTGTGTGTGTGTGTGTGTGTCTGTGTGTGTGTGTGTGTGTGTGTGTGTGGGTGTGTGTGTGGACACTCCAAACAGATGTGTACAGGATCAACAACCCGACCATTTATCACATAATGAACTTACAAGTCTGTTTTAACCTTGATTCAACACACACATACATATATATATATATATATACACAGATAAAGAAGTTATTGACCCTGACTCATCCCATAATTACCGCTCCATCCCGTTGCCATGGATACAGCCTTGCAGTAAAGGCTGTACTCTGTGCACCGACTGACTGCTGTAAAAATACAGAAGCTACAGTCACACACAACCTCCTCTTTGGTTTTATATATGTGTGTGTGTGTGTGTGTGTGTGTGTGTGTGTGTGTGTGTGTGTGTGTGTGTGTGTGGTACTTTGGATATGATGTGATTTATTTATCGATTGCAGACATAAAAAAAAATCTAAGGAATAACAAGTTAAAGTGAAAACTCTGATTTCCAACAACACAAAACACACGACCTGAAACTAAAACTACGTCACCACGACACAGATGAAACAACTCCCTCATCAGACGACGACCATCTGAATCAAACCTGTAAATAAAAATTTCTTCATAAATCTGTGACCCTGTTTCATAAAACGCCACATTAATGCTGTACAGTACATACAGTGTGATGCAGCTGTACTTCTAATTTCATTCGAGGGGACATGTTTAATTAATAATGATTACTATTCTTTTTCATCTCATGCGGTTTCTTCTTGAATTCAGTATTCAAACCGCTGCACCGACCAGAACAGACACAATCACCATGTCACTATAAAAGACGACACGGGAACTTTCTCAGTACAAAGTGTTTGACCACAACAAGGGCCTGCGTTTCACAGTGGCTGATGTATCATTTATATAAAGAGGAAATAAAAGAGGCCCTAAAATAGAGCCTTGCGGCACCTCGCATGTCGTGTACCCGGGGTCTCGTACAGCCCCGCTTCACGTCACAGACTTGACTTCTTGTCGAGTAAGAAGGAAACCATTTTACAGCCAGAACAATTTCGTTCCACCACTTTGTAGAGTATTCACCAAATAGTTTGAGGAATACCAAGGAGATGAGTGCGACATCGAATGAATTAGACAGTAATATGGTCCTAGGATGCTAAAACAGTTTTTTAAATGTCAGATCTTTTGATTATAAAAAATACTATTTATATTTTCAAATTCTTAATATATATTATTACATCTTTCCCCAAAAATCGTACTGTTTTGCAAATGATTTGTGGCCCAGTTATGCATTTAAGGGTTAAACATTGCTGACACTGACACAACCTCGTTTTCAAGACAGATCTGGTCAAGATGTGACAATAAATTAAATCTATCTATCTTCTTCCTCTTCTTCATTATTTTCTTATTCTGTTCTTGTCTTTCCTGATATTGTCTTCCTCTCTCCTCTTCTTCCTCCTCCGATCCTTGAATTGTCCCGAGGACTGAGAAAGCTTTTACATGTTACTCTCTGTCTTTAGCTGCAGTCGTTTACTTTCTTCTATTCTTTTGTCTTCTTGCGCTCCGTAAAAGTGCCATCGGGAGAGGAGTTGAACTGGACAGCGCGAAGCTCGGTGAAACTTTTCATTAATTAGAAAAAAGAAACATTGGACAGACAGACAGAGGGACAGACAGAGGGACAGACAGCAGCTGCTGAGAAAATAAACCAGGGAGCATCAGCTCGCATGAACAGAGACCATGTGTAATTGAACATGAAACTGATTCTGTGTGTGTGGTCGACATAACTGCTGCCGCATCGCTAGGCTAATGTCTCGCCAACACACCGTTTGACATGCGACATGCACACTTGCACAGACACACACACACACACACACTTAGTCGCACATTTACGCACCAGCACACACGTTACAAGCGAGGGAGACGTTAGGAGAGAGAGAGACAGTTTGTCTTTTTTTTCTTCTTTTCTTTCAAGTTGAACAAACAAAGAGTCGTCAGTTTTTTTTTTTTTTTTTAACTCAACATTTCAGACGTTTTTTGTGTTTGTCTTGATTTTATGTTTTGTTTGATGTTTTTATGACTTTGACTTGCAACACTCGACTTCCCTCAAAGCGAAGTGTCTGAAGCCGAGAAAACATTAAATCCTTAAGAGTGAAAACAGTCGAACATATTGATGAGATGAGTCTGTTTGGTGCAGTGAACGCAGCTTAGTGGCTTCTAGAAGAAAAATCAGTCAGTGCTAAAGAGTCTGTCAGCAGCTCTGTGAGACTGCACTTAGTCATAGTACATAAATGCTAAAATGCTAACGTGTCATGGACAATGACAGTGCAAACTCGCTGATGTTGGCTGAGGACACAAGTGTTGGTGTTTGGGCCACAGTTTGGTGTAAATGTAGCTGAATAGAAACTTCACTAGTTAAAGTTATAAGGTTAAATTTCAATATATCTTTTGAGTGGAAGTCAAGCACATGAAAAAGTCCAACGAGGGATCAGATACCGCACCAGAAAACTGTGAGGACTGTTTTCTAGTCGGCATTAAAAGGGCTGAAGTCGTTTCCAGAGACTGATTCCTGATGAACCCGTTATCATGAATTTACAAGGAAGGACTCCAGTGGGAAAAGTGTTTATTAGTTTTGGCAGGTGTTTCACCTGATGGTGGCGCTAGAGGAAACGTCGCATCACCAAAAGTTATTGCAGTTTACATCCTGACGGGAACATGAAGGTCCGAACAAAGTTTTAAAAGAAAATCCATCCGGCAGTTGTTGAGATATTTCAGTCTGGTCAAAGCGACCTGCCAACAGGCCGCCATTGCTGTTGCCATGGTTACAGACTTCCAGGTGTCAAACTGTGGTAAATCAAGCCTCTCTCCATGCGAAGGTTTCCTGTGAAAAATCATTGTAATTAAAACCGTAGGAAGGATTAATTACCCCGATGTGACCCTCGCTCGGGCCGTAGCTGGGGGTTTCTATTCTTCTCTGATCTGTTTCTGCGTCTCCTTGAAATAAGTTTCTTCACGTTTTCTTTCACAATAAAGTGTGTTCTAACATAAAGGACATAAAGGCCCTGTGTTGGCCCTGAGTTGGCCCAGTATCAGACAAACAGTATCGTTTTAATGAGCGTCTGAGGACAGATGGAGGCTGATGCTGTAATTCCCTGTAAGAGCTCATCCTCTCCTCCTCCTCATCCCTTCTTTCCTTTCCTGTCTCTTCTCTCTTCTCCTCTTTCCTTTCCTACATTGCCCTCCTCATCTTCCCCTGTTCCCTTCTTTCCTTTCTTTTACACTTCTTTCTTCTTTCCATTGATTTCATCTCTAGACTCTTTTCTTCTGTCATCGCCTCTTCCATTTTCATTTTTCCTTTCCTCCCCTTCCTTCAATTTTTTTCCAGTCTTCATCTTGATCTTCTCTTTCTGTCCTATATTTTCCTCTTTTCTCCTCCCTCCTTCCTTGTGTCCTCATGTCATCTTTCCTTTTCTCTCCTTTCTTCTTTTCTTTTGTCTCCTCTCCTCCTCTCCTCCTCCCCTCTCAGAGCATTAATAGTAAATGACATGCATGCAGGATGTTTATGGAGATCAGATGCAGAACAGGGAGCAGATTAGTGTCTATATTTATAAAACTCTTCCCTCTCCACCCTCCTCTCTCTTGTACACCTCCTATTTTTATGTTTCATCTCTCCTTATTGTTTTTTTTGTGTGTGTCAGTCTCAGTGACTGACGCTCTCTCTGTCAGTGTGGGAGTCTCTCGCTCTGCTGTATCTCTAATTGAATGTTATACATTATCATTAACGCGCTCGACTTTGCTCGGCTGCAGCTGGAAACACCGTCACCGTATGGATGCTAATGAGCGGTTCCCCGTCAGAGGTGATCACATCATCTCTATCACGCGGCTGTAATTATCAGCAGAGTGTCGAGAGTGATGAGCTAACTACAGACCGTCATGTGAAGGCATCACACCAGCGCGACACCTCCTGACCCATGAGCACTCGGTATTTATAACTACATTATTACATGAGTACTCAGAACTCATGGCTCGGACCACGGCCATCTTCAAACTCGGGACTTTACATCGACTTCCATTCACTTCCTGACGACTTACCCTAACATTAAAGCTCCATGTTTTCTTCTTCTGTGTTTTATTTGAAGTGTTGATCTGTAAGAAGATATATTTGTGGTTTTAAGAACCAAAAACCATCTCAGTGTAGTTTTACATCTCCTCTCTCAGGCTTCTCTCTGGAGCTCTAGTAACAACAGGTCAGTGAGCCAATCAGAAGAGAGGAGGCTCTGAGCCTCTCTTCTGATTGGCTGACTGTTTTCTGAGTGATCCAATAAAAATAAAGCAGATTTCAGGTAAAAACACTCAGAGAAACCAAATCCTGCAAGGTTTGGATGGTGGGTCCAGGTGGGCGGGGCTTGGTGACTGCTTTGTTGTGACATCACAAAGTTCCAGAAGTCCTGACGGCTGGTTTTAAGGCTCAGTTTCTGAATACAGGCTGTGTGCATTTCTCTGTGGACTGAGGCTTTGATACTTTCACAGTATTAATATAGAAGCTAGACCTGATCTATAATCACACTGCACATGGACACAGACCTTTACACTGGATACAGCTTAAACCACTAACGTAAAAATCATCTTTTTCCACAGATTCTGTCTCCAATCAGCCTCTCTTTAGTCGGAAGATTTTGCCCAAATGACAAAAATTCAAACTCACTTCAGCAGCTGGACATGAAGTAGAATCCAGTCACTGTTCACTCCACCTCCACGGCCTCGCTTCTCGTATCCAGAGATAATGTCTCTTCAACAAACACAAACAGATCTCAGATCAGTCTGTCTCTCTGGTGGATGTCAGAGTCACAGAACCAGAGTTTAAAATTCACTATATTTTGTCTTTTTGAGCACAACTTAAAACGCTAAACGAGCTCCAGTGTGTTTTCTCCTCTTGGAGCACACGTGATGTTAAATGTGCGTGACGGAAGTCAGCAGTGGTCGTCGTGTTGATCAGTGATGTCAGCTGTCACAGGTCGACTGGCACAGTGACAACAGCAGGTCGAACGACGGCGATCACAAACTCAGTGAACAGTGTCTCGTGCACTTTTCTCTGTGGAGGACTGTGACTGCTCTGACGGAGAGAGGTAATAACCCTGGCTGAGGTGTGTGTGTGTGTGTGTGTGTGTGTGTGTGTGTGTGTGTGTGTGTGTGTGTGTGTGCGCACATGTGTGTGTGTGTGTGTGAGAAAGAGAGAGACAGTATCTTTTGAAGTCTCTTCTTCTTCATGCGCCTCTCTAGTCTTTGAAGTCGAGCTGAATTTTGCTGACTTGTCTCTTTTGAACATTGTGTGTGTGTGTGTGTGTGTGTGTGTGTGTGTAGACTGGAAAATGCTGATGTGATTACTCTGTGCGTTGACTCACAGGATTTTAAACAGAGCAAAACTAGAAGACATTTGAAGATCCATGTATTGAAGATTGTTTGGCCACTAGGGGGCAGAAGAGGAACTTGATGACAAGCATGAAAAAACAAAAACCAGTATATCCAGAAATTAGATTCATATTGGACCAGTGCACGATTTACATCCAGTGCCAGTGGTGGCAGATGGACACACCTTTTACCTTTTTTATTTTTCCCTGCACAGGGCTCTCAGCCCAGTGTTCCCTCTCTGTCTTTTAGCTCCATGTTTGGTCTCCACCAGCTCCTGAAGGAAATATCTGGCTCTTTAGCTGCTAAATGCTCTACTGTGTTCACCAGCTGCTCTCTGACGGAGTTGAGAGTTGAGAGTTAACCCGTTAACTATTGATACGTGGAGCTTTAAAGTTCTTAACCTGATTTTCTCTGCGCCCTCGTCTGGAGTCGTAGAGGTCTGCACGCCCCTCTGGAGGTTACTTTAGTATTTCTTTTAGCCATAGGATCAGCGTGGCTCTATGGAATGTAATTACAGTCAGTCCACTTGTTAGATATTTCCGGATCCCCTGACTTCTCTTCTAACACTGCCAACAGGTTGTTATTTGTGGTTTAGGTTGAACTAACCTACAGTTATTTGAAGGATTGTCATCATCCTTGCTATAGATGTCTCAGCGGGTAAACGGTGGGATCCTCCTCTGCTCCTCTGACTTGTGAGGTTCCTCAGAGATCAATTCTTGGACCCATTTTATTTTCATTGTATAGATGCTCCCCTCAGGGCACCTGATCCAACACTTTAGTTGCTGCTTTTGTCATCGCTATGCTGACGATGCACTGCTCTACTTATTTGTTAGGCCTCTCAAATTTAACGACTCTCCACAAGTGGTAAATCAAAATGTTTGTCCTGGTTTTTCGCCCCAGATCAGGTCTCTACTGACATCCTCAGTTCATCAGCCACCAGTGCAGTAATCCTTTTTGAAAAACCTGGGCATGATTTTCAGCTACAGAAAAGCTTTTACCTGGTCACAGTTGGTCCACAGCTCTGCAGCAAGAAGACCTCATCCAATCCCTACACTGAGGATTCAATTCATCTGTAAGGCCTTGAATAATCCTGCTGCAGAGCATATCAGTGAACTGTTAATGCATTATACCCGTGTGAGGCCCCCCAGGTCCTCTGAGGGAGGACTGCTAGTCGGCTGAAACCACGGGGGGGACTGTGTGTTTGCTGTCCTGGGTCTCAGGCTGTGGAACCGTCTCCCCCTGAGAGTCCAGTCAGCAAACTCTCTTGGGTGTTTTGAGTCACAGCTGAAGACCTATTTTGTTTTTGTGCTTGACTTATTATGAGGGCTATTTTTGATTTATAATGCCTCTATTTTTTGTTTTTACTGTAGTATCTCTGCTGTTATAAAGTCTTTTGTTCTTCTAACCTTTTATTCTTTTGTAAAACTCTTTTACTGAGGTTTATATGAATACAATTTCACTTATTTATTTACTGATTTAATTAAAATAATTTTATTTATAAAGCAGCTTTCATGAAAAGATGCAGCCCAAATTTCTTTACCAACCATTAAAACTCAACACTTACTACATACTACTACTTTTCTTTTTCATGTGTCCCAGAGGATGTATCCTGCTGACTTCAATGATCCCCTGACTATAGCGCCACCATGAGGTTGACATGGTTTTACTGCTGTGTCATTTGGTTCAAACATTCACATTCCCAAGAAGATGAAATGTAAAAACTTAATCCTGAATTTAAATCTGTCCAATATTTTGATTTATGACCAAACTACTGACATTCCCATTTTGTCGCCTTTGTGTTGTTTAGTGCTAATTTCCAAATGTTGGCAACATTATCATTGCTAGCTTGTTAGCATACAAATGTGACCATTTAGTGCAGCCTCACAGAGCTGCTAGTGTGGCCGGAGATTCCTCATCCTGGTTTTAACTGCATCAGGTTTTCCAGGTTGTTGGTGTATTGTGTTTCTGCTGACAGTCCGACTGTGTGAGGTCAGATTTCTCTGCCTAAATAATGGATTAGAGCCCAGGAGAGGAGGCTCTGTGAAACATAAGAGTCCAGTTTACTCTTCTCAGATGAATCCCAGTCTCTGAGAATTCATCATCATCATCGATATTTATTATATTTCTCTGTCATTTCTTAAACAAAAATAAAACCATCAGCAGTCTGTGGTGTGTCTGAGTGTGAAGCGGCTTTTTGAAGTTTCACCAGGACAAGTTGAGCCTGAGGCAGACAGCAAACATCACAATAGTCTGATTCCTCCCCAAAAAAAAATAAAAACAGCTTGACATTCAGTTTGAGGAGCCACAGCCTCCTCAGATCCACTCCTCAGTGTTTCACATGAAAAATACCTGCAAGTGGAAATGTCAGCTGTGAGGACAGACGGTGTTTGTTAAGAAAATCTCACTCTGAAAACTGTAGGAACGTGAAATACAAAAATACGCCTCCCAACATCTCGAAGACGTCTGATTTATCTTGTTCAGAAATAGAAACGTAAACAAGCGTCAGTTAGCGCCGGAGCTTTAGCTTGGGTGTCCAGGTCTGAGCTCTGTCCTCACTCCACTATCAACTAATCTCAGAGATGAATGTCCTGATGTATCCGGTTCTTCTCTCTCTCAGGTCTGTCGGTGCTGCAGAGGATCCTGGACACGGCGGCGGAGCAGGGCTGGCAGGTCACCTCCGTTAACCTGGACACGCTGACGGAGTCGGCCTTCATCAAGCTGCTGGCCGACCTGGACTACAAGAAGGACTATCAGATCATCATCGACTGCGAGCTGGATCGACTCAACTCCATCCTCAACCTGGTAAAACTGTCTGATAGATCAGTCTGACTATAAAGAAAAGATCAAAAACAAACAGGATTATCACAGTGGGCTCGTCGGCATCCTGTGATCCAATCCTTTTTATTTTATTTATATTATTCACTTAAAAATCCAAAAGTTGAAAGAAATGGGTATTTTTTCCAATCATTATTTAGTTTGTTAACCTTCCCGAACCCTCCAACAGCTGCTCGGTGTAGTAAAGCAAATATCTGAAAAATTTATCGTCACTTTCCAGAGATTTTATAATATTTAATCTCATTATCTAACACTTCAGACGCTGCACAAACAGCTGACAGACATGTAACAGATGTTACACAGGTGTGACAGGAAGCTCACAAGTTACAGATAAAAAAACCAATATAAACAAAATCAATGAATAAAGAAAAAAAAGAAAGAAGGTAAAGTAAAGTAAGAGACAAGATGAACAACAGCTCACAGTCCAGCACTGATCAGCTGACAGGGATCGTGTTTAAAAAAAGAAAAATATAAGATTTAATATGCAGGATGACGAGGTAACAGAAAATCTAATAACCTGGTGACAGACAGGGATTAATTAGATCTCATGAATTAAATGCAGTGATAATTTTAGAATATTGAGGTGATAACGAGCTTTAAACAACCTGAAGCTGTTCGGCCTGTGAACATGACGGACCATGCTGCAACAGAACCATCAGGACTCCACGCTGGAGATGAACCTCACCAGAATAAAGACGAGCCTTTTATCCTGTGGTTTTCTTTAATTTATTTTAGCCTTGGACCCGTTTGGCTCTGCTCAGCTCGGCTCTGTAACTGTTCTGATTTTCATGCTCTCAGCTCCGTCTGGGAAGCTGCTGTTGTCTGCCAGCTGTTAAGAGTCTGTAAGCGTCTGAACAAACAGCAGACACTTAAATCTACATCACAACACAGGAGATAACTCGTCTTCTAAACTACGGAGCGGGAATTTGTTTTCACGTGACGTTTCCATTGGAGAAATTCTACAAGTACTCGGACGGTGAACTCAAACGGGAATAACGGGTATCGTTAGGTGTCGTCTGCGTAGCGCATAATCGGACCCGAGCGGTTGCTGTATATTGCAAAGAGAAGGGGCCCAAGTACCGATCCTTGGGACACCATCCACCTCAAGGTTGGACGTGTTGTTCGCTCTGAAGCTTCTCTTCTCCCCACAGCTGTAAAGAGTGGTTATCTGAGTGACTGTAGCCGGATGGTTTTTTTGTTGTTGCTGCTGCATTCTGAGTAAAAACTGCAGAGTCTGTTGTGAGTGAAAATCCAGGAACATCAACTGAAGCTGACTTAGAGTGTTGTTGTTTCCGGTGCATTGTGGGTAATTTAAACACCAGATTTTAACAAGGAAGAAGGATATCTCTGGTTCAGCTACACAGATTGTTGCACTGTTTTCTTAACTGTCCACCGGGACTCTGACAAGGTTTTAGAAGTGTAATTCCTAATCTGTTGAGCACTCGTGAGACCGGTAAACATCTTCTCCTCTAACTCTGAGAAAGAAAACAAATAAGTGCATTTCAAATGTTCAACAATCCCACGACAACATCTGTTACAGTAGCTGTCAATGTTTTGCTCGTGGTGTGTGAAATAAGAAAAGGTTCAGCTGAGTCTTTGTTTTCTGAATATTTCTGTTCAGATTTAGCTTGTTGGGTTTGTTTGGGAGGGAACAGTCTTACCAGGTCTCCCAGTAACGGCTACGCTCACGCATCCCGTTTCCATCATGGACCAACGCCCCCAAACAGACAGACTTTTAATTGTTTTGTGTGTTTGTTAGTTTTGTTTGGTTTCCTCTCGGCAGCAGCAGCAGCAGCAGCAGCACATGTGTCTGACTGTTTTGCTCTTCAGTTGCAGCTGTTTTCACCTTTTTAATGAAACTTTGATTTAAGCTTCTTTGCTAATGAACTGGCAGGAGAGAGAACAGAGAGAGTGAGAGCAAAGACGATATTTCTGCAGTGAAAAGGACATGTTGGAATATTATGGACTCAGTTTTTCCGAAGCCAAAAACTGATCAGTGTGAACTCTGGCCAGAGACCAGCCATCATTTGGGAAACTCCTCTTCCTGCTGAACTCCAGCTGGCGGACGGAGACTGAAGTATCAGGTGGTGTTTTGGATCTGTGAAATGAAGCTGTTGGCTTCGGCTGAGTTTGTTCTCTGTGACTCGGCTGAAATCATCAGGTGGCGTTCAGCCTGGCTCTAGTCTGACTTCATCTGGTTCATTTGGTTTGGTTGAATGTGAGCGAGGTATCAGGTGGAGCCGTGGATCTGCTGGGTGGTGATGATGAGCTGAGCTGACGGGTTGATTATTCAACTGGTCCGGGTCGGGCACGATGAGCAAGAGAAAAGTAGAACACAATAAAGACTAGACGTGAAACGGTTTAGAAATTCAATGTCATAATTATCACAGTTCTGTTAAAATGTGCTGAAAATGTTCAACAAGTAATAAAACACAACCTGAATCTTTTCACCAAGTGACTGTTTGTATTTAAACATTCAAATAACAACATGTCCAACACATCTGTCAGCAGCCGCCAACTCCGTAAACGAGGGAGTAGCATTGTTTTTTTCCTGCTGTGACGTCTTTCAGAGACACTGTAGACACACCTGTCACCTGTCCAGCACGGTGCGGTTACACCGGAAACACCGCGGCCACTCGGGGATGAAACGGCGAGCTGCAGTGTGCGCAAAAAAAAAAAAAAGAAAACCTGCTTATATCCACTAACACTCACCTGTTGATGGCGCTAGATGAAAAGTCAGAGGATCACCAACGTGGAGGAGGGAAGGATGAAGGACGATCCTCCATCGACTGATGCTCATTAAGAGCTGGACCTGAGAGGAAGGCGGGAGGCAACACCTGCTTCCTCCTCCTCCTCCTCCTCCTCCTCTACAGCTGCTTTTCCTCTCCACCTCCTTCTCTTCTTCCTTTTTATAACTTCTCTCCTACTTTCCTCCTTCATTTTCTCCTTTTCTCTCCATCTTCCTTCCTCCTCCTCCTCCTCCTCCTCCTCTCTCCCTGGCCTGTATCAGTTGACTCTTGTAAATCTCTTTCTTTGCATCTCTTTCTGATGGTGAAGATGAGCAATTAATTCCTCAAAGAGGAACCGAGTCTTCCAATTAGCAGCTGTTTGAGAGGGCGCACACACACACACACACACACACACACACACACACACACACACACATACATACAGATGAGTGTGATGAATCTGTAATGGATGCTTTTTATCATCATTAGAAACATCAGAAATGTGATTAGCATATCGTTTATTCTGACTCTCTATCGCTCAGATCGCTGCTCAGAGGAGAAACTTGAAGAACTACCACTACATCCTGGCCAACCTGGTGAGTCCGTCTGTTCACTGGGAGGAACCACAACCAAACACCTGTGTTCAGTCCATGAAACTGTGTGTGTGTGTGTGTGTGTGTGTGTGTGTGTGTGTGTGTGTGTGTGTGTGTGTGTGTGTGTGTGTGTGTGTGGTGTGGTGTGGTGTTTGTGTGTGTGTGTGTGTGCGCGTCAGGGCTTCATGGACATGAATGTCACGGAGTTTCAGAAGCTGGGGCCGAACGTGACGGGCTTCCAGCTGGTGAACCGGTCCGATCCAGCTGTGATGAAGATCAACCAGGACTGGCTGGACTTCGACAGCAAAGACCTGAAGCTGGCCCGCAGGAGGCTCAGGGTACACACACACACACACACACACACACACACACACACACACACACACATAAATGATTAATTATTTGGAGCTGAAACTAAATGTTTTTGTCAGAGCGACTCCATCCTGTTTTCTCTTCTGAGAAAAGATGAAATATTTATATTTCTGATGTTGAACTGTTTCTAACTGAAAGGTGTTTTGATGGAGAAAAATATTACAAACATGTTTCAACATAAAACTTCATACTCAACATGATTGTTTTTGTAGTGAGCTACCGGACATTAGAGTTTATAGGTGTACCTAATAAATTGGCCACATGAGCACGTCTCTTCCTGCACCTTCGCTTGTTGAACGAGTCACAAACAAACACTCTCCAGGGAGACGTTCGCCGCTGACGTCAGGCTAGAAGCTGATTGGCTGATAAAATCATGACTCCTACCATGATATTCAGAGCAGTTGGAAGCTGCTGTGGTCTGTAGTGTTGAATCTCACTGCGTCAGTAACGTGTGATAGGAGAGTGAGTCGTAAACAGAGAGGCTGATGTACAAACGGCATCGTTTCCATGTTTGATCTGAATCCAGAGCAGGAGTGATGGACAGACGGACAGTAAACTCAGAAACACGGTTTCATTTCATGTGAATGTGACGGGCTTTAACTTTATTAACTTTATTCCTGGGCCTCAGTACACGGGAGCTCTGACCTACGACGGCGTCACTGTCATGGCGACGGCCTTCCAGAACCTGCGGCGGCAGCGGATCGACATCTCTCGCCGCGGCAACGCAGGGGAGTGTCTGGCCAACCCCCCCGCTCCCTGGGGTCAGGGCATCGACATCCAGAGAGCCCTGCAACAGGTACACACACACACACACACACACACACACACAGTGGCTGACACAGTGTTAGCGGTTGTGCTAATGCTAATTCTCTCGCTCTCTGTAGACAAGGTTTCAGGTATATTTAGCCACGCCCCCGTCCCCACAAGTTGACAGGATTGGTTCCTGAGGATGAAACCCTGAATCTGTGTTTATGAGACTGTGATTGGTTCACTGCAGGTCAAGGTGGAAACACTCAGTCATCATGTGTCGTTATTATATAAAATCATCATGAGGACGTTAACGAGGTGAAACTATAAGACAAACCTCGAGTTGTTAACGAGTCTTTACTGAAAAACTTTTATCATTTTTGACACCAGGAAGTTGTTGAGGACAAAAAGTTTGAGGAAAACCAAGGAGATAACGCAGACTCAAAACTGTGTGTGTGTGTGTGTGTGTGTGTGTGTGTGTGTGTGTGTGTGTGTGTGTGTGTGTGTGTGTGTGTGTTGCAGGTGCGTCTGGAGGGGCTGACAGGTCACGTTCAGTTCGATGAGCGAGGACATCGCACCAACTACACGCTGACTGTGATGGAGCTGAGCCACACCGGACCCAGGAAGGTGCTGCTCCTCTTTTTTGTTAAACGGCTTTAATTTGAGCAGAAGTTTGTGGAGTCGGACGCCGCAGCGACGCGGCAGGTTTTCACCGCCTCAGCTCCTTTCGATAATTAGCTCCCTCCTCTTTGATTAAAGGTGTGATAATCAGTCGGATCAGCTGCTGCAGCACTCGTTTGGTGTAAAAACCTGCAGACTCTCAGCTTTCTGTTAAACTCCGTCAGACGCCGGCCCTCGCTGTGATAAGGTCCACGGTGACGCTGGCTTTGTAGATTATGGGATGTCACTTTGAGGTCGAGGCTTCAAATGGAGACGGGTCGGTGTTTGATGACGTCTTACTGAATCCAAACTGATCCACTTATCAAATCTGAATCCTTTTGAGTCCCTCACACAATCTCATGAAGTTTATCTTTCATTATTTGCAAGAAACAGAGTGATGCGTCGTTTTTTAAAGCTCCATCTTTTCTTCTTCTTCCTGGTATATACTTTATAATCAAACACATGGACATCTACCGTCAGACTATATGGGCCTTTAAATGAAATGCAGCACTTGTATCTAATCAGAAAATTAGACTCATGTCAAGTAAAAGCATTTCATAGACTTTATTTATTTGTTAAGTCTCGTGGAAAGTGTTTTAACTTTTAATATGTGCACACCTGTATCAGCACCTGGGGTCTATGAACAGACACAGGCTGTAAAATCACTGGAGAGACACTATTAGACTCTGTTTTAAAGAGATGGCAGGTGACTGGGAGACGACAGTGTGATGTCACGGTGCTCTGTTGTGTTCAGATCGGCTACTGGAACGAGAGGAGGGGCTACGTGAACACAGCCGTGTACCGGCCGGTGGTGGAGGAGTTCTACGGTCTGCAGAACCGAACCTACGTCGTCACCACCATCCTGGTGAGACGCGCTGCTCTTCACCCGCCTGCCTCTTTATTTAGAGCTCGTTTCTGTTTCCTTGAAAGGGTTTGAATGACATCATCATACTCAGTAGTCAGGGTCGGGTTTTAATTCTGGTTTAATGAATCCAAATCTGACAAGGTTCAGCTTTAAACATTTAAAAGTTACTAAAGTCTTCAACAACAAAAAGCAAGTGATTCAATTTAGATTTAAAGTTTAAAAGATTTAAAGCTGAGAACCACTCGACAGTCGGGTTTGGTTCAGTTGATGAGTATCGATGACTGTAGATCTGGAGCGTGAAGTAAAACAACCTGAAGGTAGAAACAGTGACGTCGGTCTCGTCTCTCGTACAGGAAGCTCCCTACATGATGCTGAAGAAGAACCACGAGCAGTTCGTGGGGAACGACAAGTACGAGGGTTACTGCGCCGAGCTCGCCTCGGAGATCGCCAAACACGTCGGCTTCGCCTACCGCCTGGAGCTGGTGGGCGACGGCAAGTACGGCGCCAGAGACGCCGAGACCAAGATGTGGAACGGCATGGTGGGAGAACTGGTGTACGGGGTGAGTGACGGACCTGAACCGGCTCAGAGTCAGTTTGTGTCGGAGTCAAACGTTTGTTGACTCACAGCTGCGAAATTCTTCCTTTAGTCTCTTTCTAACCAAAGATGTCAAATCGTTGCTGTTTCTTGCTGCTGCAGAAAGCCGACGTGGCGGTCGCCCCGCTCACCATCACTCTGGTGCGAGAGCAGGTGATCGACTTCACCAAACCGTTCATGTCTCTGGGGATCTCCATCATGATCAAGAAACCCACCAAGTCCAAACCTGGCGTCTTCTCCTTCCTCGACCCGCTGGCCTACGAGATCTGGATGTGCATCGTCTTCGCCTACATCGGTGTCAGCGTGGTGCTCTTCCTGGTGAGGGGGCGGCTGCTGCTGCTGTGTGTGTGTGTGTGTGTATGTGTGTGTGTATATGTGTGTGGTCACAGTCTCGTGTCCTTGTGCCGACCGTGTCTCTGTGTTTCAGGTGAGTCGCTTCAGTCCGTACGAGTGGCAGGGAGAGGATGAAGACGATGAAGATGAAACTTTGGCCTCCTCCGCCTCTCGACGAGCTCTGCCCACTTCCTCCTCTGAGCTCACTCACTCTCCAGGTACCTCCTCCTCATCATCATCATCATCATCATCATCAGTTTCCAGTGTCATGGTGCCGCTCGGTCCGTCTGTAACATGTTTCCTCTCTCAGGTTACTCCCAGTCTCAGAACCAGAACCAGCAGAAGGAAAAGGAGGCTCCAGAACACACCAACGACTTCGGGATCTTTAATTCTCTGTGGTTCTCGCTCGGGGCCTTCATGCAGCAGGGCTGTGACATCTCCCCCAGGTAAGGTCGGACACCTGGTCCACACCTGACTCTCCACTCACTCGCTCTCGTCGCCTGTTTGGTTCATAGATTTTTGTTGTGATTGTTTTTCTTGTCGGATCAGAAACGTGTCTGATAAACTGTGAGAACCGCTGCTCCAGAACAAGAGAGGATGTCCTGTTACAAACTGATACACAACCATACTGTCAGTGATATACAGCACTTATTAATGTAGACATACAGTATCGTCACACACACACACACGCACACACACATCATGAAACACATCCTGTGTGACGTGCTGCCGGGTTTGTTATATGTAACTGCTGAGTTAAAGCCTGAGGCAGCTTCTATTCTGGATGTACTGTACTGTGTGTGTGTGTGTGCGTGCGTGTGTGTGTGTGTGTGTGCGTGCGTGTGTGTGTGTGTGTGTGTGTGTGTGTGTTTGCGCGCATTTATGAATTTTTCAGTAATTGTTTTCCTCATAACCTCATTAAAGCAATGTCCTATGTCTCCTTCTACATTATATATTGTGTGTGTGTGTGTCCAGCTGGATTTGTGGCGGACATCATTAGCAGTTTTGAAATATTAAGCTTCAACACAGAAAATATCTTATTTGTCAAAACAAGAGGCAGGTTTTTTGGGGATAATCAGGTTCTTTCTGCTTTGCACTGAAACGAGAGTTTAGTGTTTGTTTAATATCCATTTTCTTCTTCTGTGTTTTATCTGAAGTGTTGATCCATCAGAAGATACAAAAACCATCTCAGTGTAGTTTTACATCTCCTCTCTCAGGCTTCTCTCTGGAGCTCTAGTAACAACAGGTCGGTGAGCCAATCAGAAGAGAGGAGGCTCTGAGCCTCTCTTCTGATTGGCTGACTGTTTTCTGAGTGATCCAATAAAAATAAAGCAGATTTCAGGTAAAAACACTCAGAGAAACCAAATCCTGCAAGGTTTGGATGGTGGGTCCAGGTGGGCGGGGCTTGGTGACTGCTTTGTTGTGACATCACAAAGTTCCAGAAGTCCTGACGGCTGGTTTTAAGGCTCAGCTCTGGAGGTGTACCGGTTCTGAAACCTGAGACCAGGTCCATGGTCTAGTGTTGTGGTCCCAGTACACGGCTGAGCGCTCATCACATCAGGTTTTACTGTGGAAAAACAGCACTGTACTAACTGACCTACACATGTAGCATCACACAGGGTCACCTTTAGACAAGCTGGACAGGACTGGAGGCCCGAACAGTATTAGTGTGTGTGTGTGTGTGTGTGTGTGTGTGTGTGTGTGTGTGTGTGTGTGTGTGTGTGTGTGGCCTCAGTGTCTCTTTGATGTGATTTGTGTGATTGTGTCGATGTATTTGATGCTCATGTGAGGTGTGGACGCCGCCCTGCAGGCAGAGCCGTCACACCTACTGTAGCACCATAACACACACACATGTACACGCTCATACATAACACACCCTTTAATATTAGTAATAAACATCACGCTTGATGAAAAAGAGGAGTCCAAAGCGCAGAATTATTACCAACAGGTGTACCATGTGGTTACCTGTAGTGGGAGGCGTCCTCAGGTTTAGCTCTCTGAAAACCTTCCCAACATCAAATCCCACAAGTTAAACAACCAAAAACAAACTACAGAGACATTCAGGGAACCATGTGCAAAATAAACAGGCAAGCAGCTGTTAATGTGAGTCATTTCCAAGAAGCAGTTTCCAGTCACCGCGGGCAACAAGAAAACTACATAATGAATAAACAAAAACGGCTGCAATTATATCATATAACACATGTTAATTAACAGTCCAGCTGACGTGTCACATATATCTCTTTACACATTTGCATAACTGTTAGATGTCAGTTTCCTTCATGAAGCCCAGTCCCCTATAAATAAACAACGAAGCAGCAAATAAATAAATAAGTCTTGTACTTGTTGTTAATTATTGTAGTGTCGTTTATCTCTAGAAACAAAACAAAGATTATTCAGTCGTGTCCGTCAGCTGAATAAATTACTGTACAGCCTCTTTTTTTTTCTGCAGCCTGGTTCTTTCTGTGACATCAACCTGTCACCGAGTTGTTGTTGATATTCTTTGTGCACAAATAACTCTCCACTTCCATTAAAGCACTGTTTATGATCAACAAGGACATTTGTGACAGAATCACAAAGCCTTCGCTCATTAGCACAGCATCTGTGTGTTTATGTGTGTTTTATCTGGATCATGGAAATGTCCTTGTGTATCTCATGAATGTTTTTAGAGATTAACCTTTGTTGACTTCCTGCGTCTGAACATAAATATTTGTTTCCTCTTTTCACCTGAGCTTCTTTCATGTTTGTTTACTGGGAGTTGATTCACACCACAGAGTCACAGACTCTGATCTCTGGTGCTGCAGTCGTTTCTGGCTTTATATGTGTGTCGATGTGCGATTGTGTATACGCAGCTGTGACAGCTAGTCAAACTGTGTGGTACATAAAAGACTCTCTTCTGTCCTTAAATGTCTCTTTTAAAATTCAAGTAGGAATCAGCGCTACGAAGAACAGAGTGCTAGTATTATGAAAGGTTACGTGACTACGATCATGTAATATGTGAACTGATTGATTAGACTCCTGAAGAAAAAAAGAACACCTGTTGTAAAAATAATCCAGGTACAACACACAGCAGAGCCTCCAGCTGAAAACTCAAAAACATGGTTTGAATCAGTCCAACATTCTCACAAATCCTCAAAACTTTCTGTCCGGATTCGTTACAAAGGACTCATGAAACAATCCTTTTTTTTTTTTAATTAAAAACCAAAAGGATTCATCATCTGGGGAGAAGGAATCTTCTTATACATCCATAGTTTATTGATCAGGTGTTGAAATAGATGTAAAAGCCCAGATGTTGTGGTTTTAGGAACAGTTAGCGTTTGAACTATTTGTTGACCCAACCTAAAATCTGCAGGGTTCATCCTCTGAGACACAAGGATGTGATCAGGAATTTCTATGGCAATCTGTCAATTGAGAGTTTGATATTTCTTATAGTGGACAGTTTCAACTTGATGGTGGTGCTTGAAGAAAGATCAGGAAGGGGTTACAAAAGATGTGATGATTCATCCTGAAGGGACCAAGAATATTGATGGAACTTCGAATGGAAACGGCCTGTGATGAACCAAAGTATTCGTCGAGGGGAAATTTGACAACACAGAAGAACATGGCATCAACAGAGTGTTGGATCTACAGAGAGGCAGGAAGACCAATCAACCAGGGCTGCAACTAGCAATTCATTTTATTATCAATTAATCTGCTGACTATTTTATTGATAAAGAAAATCAAGAGCCCAACATGAGGCCTTCAGAAAGCTTCTTCTCTATCAAGAGATAATTAAATAGAAAGTTGTGCATCGTCTGCATAGGTGTGAATTGTACTTATGTTTGCTGATGATAGAGCGAAGTGCGAGCATGTACGTACAGATACTGTTACTTTTTAGATATGATGCGGATTGAAAAGACAGTTTTCTTGAACTTTATTAATATACTGAAATGCCTTTAGGTTAGAAACGCCATCTTGAGGTTTGCAACTGAACGTTTGCTGCTTCAGAAGAGTGACTACCTTCAAGCAATGTCCTGAAACCCAACTGATCCAGTGGAGCTGCTCATCAGCCTGCGTCAGCTCTGGGCAGCTTCATAACTGAGTCTGAACAAGGTGTTCCTGAGAAAGACTATCCTGGGTAAATAAAAGCTTTTCTTCTCCCCTTCCTCCTTGTTCTCTCCAGGTCTCTCTCAGGGCGAATTGTCGGAGGAGTTTGGTGGTTTTTCACCCTCATCATCATCTCCTCCTATACAGCCAACCTGGCAGCCTTCCTCACTGTAGAGAGGATGGTCTCCCCCATAGAGAGCGCAGAGGACCTGGCCAAGCAGACGGAGATCGCCTACGGTACCCTGGACGGAGGCTCCACTAAAGAGTTCTTCAGGGTGAGGACACATTGCTCTTCTTGCTTTTATACATGTCAGTATTATTCCAAACTATAGTTCCCTTTCTCAAGGAGAGACAAACGGTGTCAAAACAACCTGACTGTCTTTCTCCGTCTTCAGAGGTCGAAGATTGCCGTTTTTGAGAAGATGTGGTCATACATGCGGAGCGCAGACCCTTCGGTGTTCGTCAAGAACACCAACGAAGGTGTGTTGCGAGTCAGAAAGTCGAAGGGGAAGTATGCCTACCTGCTGGAGTCCTCCATGAACGAGTACATCGAGCAGAGGAAGCCCTGCGACACCATGAAAGTAGGAGGCAACCTGGACTCTAAAGGCTACGGAGTGGCCACGCCCAAAGGATCGCCCCTCAGGTACACTCTGAATCTCCAGACAGGGGTCGGTCAGTGTGGGGTCGATGTCGCTGTCCTGTTCTGTCTGTTTTTGTGGGAAAGTAGAGCAGTCAGAGCAGCCATGTGCATGTATAGATCCACATCACCTACACATGCACATGTTGAGTTAGTAAACTGGGGTCTACTTTTTAAGAGACATTATATCCTGTGGGTTTTTGTTTTCTTGGTTTTGAATCAAAGGTAAATGAATGGATTAAAATATTATTTTAATGAGATTTTAATTAAAACAACAGATTTATTATAGGAACCAAAATAAATATGTATTTTAATAATTTGATGAAATGAATATGTCAGTATGTAAACAAGGAGCAGACATGCAGAGGCCTGGACTCAAGTCATAGATTTGTTGACTTCAGACTTTAAAAGGATTTAAGGCTGCACTTTAACAAACAGTGACTCTTGACTGAAGATGGACTTTGAGCCCTGAAGCTTCTCAGTTGGAGCATTTACACTGTTAACCTTTGAACTGTAACTCCTGGTGCTTACATATCAAAACGTCGCCGTGTTTGGTGCACAGTGATTTGTTGACTTATGATATCAGTATGCCCAGTTAAATGAATTTATTTTATACAAGTTTTTTACTTTATTCTTATTGATATTATTGCTGGATTAAAATATTACTGAATGCTTTCTTGCTGTAAAGAAAAAAATTGGTGGTGAGCGCCACAGGGACGTGATATGTTTAGGCTGAGGGGAAAAGTACTTGTGCTGAAATTTGACATTTCTTTTTAACAGTAGCAAAAATGAAATGGACTTGAAATAACAAAGTTCAGCCTTTATAACCTGATCTGGGACTTTGCTGCCTCGATACGGCGTCAAGATCTAAAACTTACCGGAGACTTGAAAAACAGTGACTTGGTCCGACCTCTGCAGAGTGTGAAACGCTGCTTCAAACAGGACGCTCTCTTAGACAGCTGATGTCTGGTGTCCTTGATTGTTGGCATCTCTAAATCCAGATTTTAGAGGCAACGAGAAGCTTCGTGTATTTTCTTCTTACTCTCAAAAATCTGTTTTGGAATATAACCAACGTCCAAAAACTAACCTGACCCTCACAGAGCAGTCTTGGGTTTTAGGCTTGTTTACTGTCTGTGTGTCTGTCTGTCAGTGTGTCCATCTGTCCAACTGTCAGTCTCTTAATCTGTCTCTCTGTCTGTCTTGTCTCTCTCTCTCTTTTGTTTGTCCTTGTCAGTATGTGTGTCCCTCTGTCTTGTTCCTGCCCTGTCGGCCTGTTTACCTGTCTGTTGTCATCTGTTATGCCTGTCTGACTGCCAACCTGCCTGTCTCTCTGCCTTACAATCACCAGAATACTGACAATGCTACTAACACTCTTACCCACCTACATTTCTATCTTTATATATATCTATCTATCTGTCGGTCTATCTATATCTATCTGAGTACTGCTGCTGTCAGGTAAAACCTCACATTAAAAACAAAAAAAACAAGACTTTATTTAATGGATAAACAGTTTGACTAATAGTTACTGAAGTAAGTACTGATAATTTAATTAAATTACTACTGGACTGTGAAACGAGTGAACTGTGCCTTTAACTGGACTGCTACCTTTGAGCTAATTCACACCCAAAGCATTGATGAAACCACCTAGTAACGCCCTAGCAACCACGCAGAACACTAAAGCAACCATTTAGTAACCACCTACACTCACCTTAGCAACCACCTGGAAACACCTTAGCAACCATCTAGCAACCACCTGGAAACACCTTAGCAACCATCTAGCAACCACCTGGAAACACCCTAGCAACCATTGTGAGTCCTCTTTCCTATTCCATTAATCAGATTCATCTGGTGACCCTTCGGAGGGGCCCGACCTCTAGGTTGGGAACCACTGGCCTAAATTAACTGTTTAGCTAAGTAGTTAAAAGCAGTTCCACCTGGAGCAGCTACAACTTGATTTACAATCTAATAACATGTTGGCAACCACCCAGCGACCACCGAGTAAAGCCTTACAGACACTTATCAACAAATTAGTCCAAGGTATTTTTTGTCAGGAAGAATACATCTATTCTTTGTAGTTTTTGTGTTATTTTGTTTTCAGGGTCAGAAGCAAAAGAAATGAATCTGTTCGACTGTTTAATTATGATCAAGTCTGTTCATGTATAAATGTTACACTTGGTAGAAAATTTAATCGTTGGTTTAATAGTAATGAAGAAGATGATTTAATTATGTGCATTTACATATTTATAGACCACTCAACATCCATTCAGTCCTGGGAAGCTTCCTGGTTTTTACCTGACAGCAGCATCTGAAAATAATTCCTTCCTGTTCTTTGTTCCAGACGTCAGTGGACTTTGTCCATGTTTTTATCAGATGTTCTGAGAGAGAACATCTTGTTCTCATTCTTTCTGCTTCACATCAGCATTTTACAGCCAACCCAGAGTCACAGAGAGGAAATTAGTCCGAAAATGAGATTAGCACGTGCTGAATGTAATAATTTGTATGTTATAAAATTATTTAATCCCTGAACTGTGTGTGTGTGTGTGTGTGTGTGTGTTTGTGTGTGTGTTGGGCCTGACTACATCAGTCACTGTTGCAGAGACAGAAAATTAGAGCCAAGCAAATTGATTTGCCGTTCCGCCCTCGTAGTAAAATGGTTTTAGGTTTGGGTAAAGAAAATTAATAATTTCATGAACTGACAATTTGGAAGAAAAAGAAGCAGAGCTGTAGAAGTGGCTCTCCTTGGATTTTCTGCTGTTTCCTTGTTCATGCGCTCAGAGTTGCAGATGAAGAAAAATAATTCACCATTTTTTAAAAGAGTTAAGGCGGTGTCAGCTTCTCTAATCAGTTGCCAAGCAACGCTGTTGTTTTAAACCACTTGAATGCTGAGCATATTTTGTAATCACTTTTACAGATCACAGATAGTGGCTCATGAGTTTGAACAGACTGTACTCTCGGTCTCTGGGTTGACTGGGTCTCAGTACTAACGTTGACTACTTCCTTTCATCATTTCCACTGAGAAAACTCCCATTAACCAGCATCTGCTTCCCACTCATGTTGATGTCGTCAGACTTCTGACTGTGCTACTGTTCTAAGTGGATTATTTGGAGAGTATTGTTCCAAAATGACATCGTTACAATTCACATGTTTTCAGAGTATCCAATTGATTTATTGAACAAATAAATAGCAGTTTTTAAACATCAAAACGGTGACGATTTAGAATCAGTGTTAGAAAGGTAGACTAATACTCCAGGTGTCCAGGTGAGATATAAAGTTATTAACAGGCTATTGATTGATAGCAAATGTCAGGTCAAGTCAGTTTTATTTCTATAATCTAATATGACAAATTCACCTCAATGGGTGAATTTCAATTCACAGTCTGTACAGCATACGACATCCTCTGTGCTTCAGTTCACACAAGGAAAAACTCTCCCATAAACCTGGAAGAAACATCAAGAAGAGTAAAAGCTTTTATAGCGCTGCTGCTGAACTGACTGTGACCAGATTTAGATAATATTTCTCTAATTCAGTTGTGGATATCTGAGGAATACTACCAGTCTGAGCAAAGGTTTACCATGAAATTTAAGTTTTAAGTGAGGAAGCTTCTCAGTTTTACCACATGCCTCCATTTCTTAAATACAATAACAATGTTGTTCTTGATTCTAGTAGTAATAGTATTCTAGTAGTTGGATTCATGTTTTTAATTTGTGCACATTGTAACTGGATTCTTTTGTTCTCTCCTCATGTTATTTTATTTATGTATTCTATATTTTTCAATACATAATTCACTTTAGAACAAAACTCTTCTGTTGCTGTTGCTCTCATTGGATTAATTATTGTTACTGTCTCTTCAAACTGACGCATCACTGGCTGACTCATCACTGATCACTTTCATTGATTCCTGTTCCTTTGCTGCCACCATTAAAACTTCACTGCTTCCTCTCTGCCTATAGCTTTGATCATCACTGGTATGTAAAGGGGAACAACAGGCAACTTCTGGGTATTTGTGTATTTTGTAAGGAAATACAAGATGGTGGGAAATTGACACAAGCGTAAAAGATGTTTAGCCACCTGCTGCCCGTCATTAATTCTAACCTTAACGTGTTATTTTTATATTCCACGTGGTATTTATGTCTAAACATTTGACTGTTGTTTCTCCTTTATTTATCAGGTAAGGAATGGAAATGAATGCAAGTCGAGGTTTGCTGCACAGTAGTCAGCTGGAGGATTAATTTGCTGTTTTTCAACCCAGACCGTATTAAAGTGTTGTTTTCCTTCACTTGTATACTTTACAGACAGCTTCAGATATGATTACCTGACCTTTCTGCTTTAGCGTATCACTGGGCTCAACATAAGCCAGTGGAGCAGTTGTTTCATCCGTCCATCCATTTACAAGTCGCAGGCAAAAGGAGTAGCCTCAATGGTTTTGTCCCCAACAACTCCCAATCACCTCGGCCTGCTGGGTCTCAAATGTATGTTGTGTTGGGTATGTCCAAAGCCGAGGTCAATCAAACCTTCAGACCAGCCTCGGTGCATGAGGTTGGTTCCAAAGCCAATACTGAAGTGGATGAAAGTCAGACTATCAACTTGATACCTGTGATCTTCATGCACTAGGTCTTCTCCCCCTGAGAAAGGTGACAATCCAAGAGCCAGTCATCCCACATCATTAATGTCCAAATCTGTCTTGAACCAACTCTTTAACTAATAGACATTGGACTCAGCCCATAACGTTCCCCTTTTTGTTGCTGAGACAACAAAGAGATGGTTCCAAGATGATTTCCTGGCAGATTTCTTGATCACGGAAGATACCTGGATCCATAGATGATCACCTGTAATTCCAGGATCTGACACTGGTAGCAAAGTTATGAGTGCTCTGCCTAAAATAACACTATGCTCCATGAATCGTGCATTATTATTCTCATGGGGCAATTTTTTCTCTATATACATTCATGTGTTTTCTTTTTGGAGATTGGGAACCTTGCAGCTCACAGTCAGCCCGTGCCTTACATGTTCTACCATCAGAAAGACGCTCAAACCAGGATTTACTCCGATTACATCACTTTTGTTTCTTTAAGCTACAATCTGTCTGGTCACAAGAATTGAAGCATGGTTTGTGACTGCGTTTGTGAGACTGATCCCATAGCTCATCTGTGCAAGGGCCTTATTACGACCCATAATTACCTTTCATTGTTGGGCAACCTTTAGGGACCTTTGAGCGACAAAGCCATGTCGACGAAGGTCCTTTAACCTTAAGGGAAGTACTTCTTTTAACCCAAACCCGGATCTTTTCCTAAACCTAACCATATAGTTTTTGTGCCTAACCCCAACCAAACCATTCAACCACCTTAAATAACAACCGTAAATGTCTGCAACAGAATCCTTCAAACTGAAGCTATGTGGCTGTTACATGCACAACTTTAAATGACAGAAAACAACATTTTAACAAGGTCTGGGTTGAAGAGCCGTGAAGCTGTCCTTTAATGTCCCATTATTTTCATGATTACACTAATAATAACATGCCTGTCATAACCAGATACATGTAATGATGTTGCTATCTTCACTATGGCAATCCTCTGCTCATTAACACCTAGTTCCCTTTTATCCCCTATTGTTACTATCCCCGTAGAAACCCTGTTAACTTGGCAGTGTTAAAACTGAACGAGCAGGGCCTGTTGGACAAATTGAAAAACAGATGGTGGTATGACAAGGGAGAGTGCGGCACCGGGGGAGGGGACTCCAAGGTCAGATCACCGTAACCCCAACGGGTAACGACAGGCAATGGTACACCGGGGTAACCGGCAACAACCCACAACTTGACTATCAAGCATTAAACACTCCGGATGACACCACTGAACCTAAACATATAACTTAATGTTTGGTGTCTTTTCAACTATTTAATCTTTGGCCTTAAAAATTTCTAGCTTTTCTCACCCTCTGATCCAGGGGGTATTTTACAAACACACTTGAACCAGTTTATTCTTTCAAAAACAAAACAAGAATCACATCTAGAACTGAGCTCATCCAATTTTGAACATTTCAGAATACAAAAACACTAATGCTAATCAGTTGTAAATGACTTGATTTTCAGTCAATACAGAAGCTTTGGTAGTGGTTGCTAGGGGCAGTTAATGTTTTTCAACATTATCCAAGAAATATGCAGATTTTTAAAGTTCCTATTTTTATAAGTTGACTTACAACTGCCTGCACAGCGGCATCAGTCTCTCCCAACCTTGCAGCCATTTTTCTGAAGCTATTCTTCATGTCTATAGCTTGATAGTAAGATAACTATGTAGGATGATGGCATTAGCAATCTTAATCCCACTTTCAAAGCTCTGATTGGTTGACTGTTTCTTAAAACAGGGTTAATGGCCATCAATAGATGCATCCCAAAACACAACACAAGAACTTCCAGATTCTATTTGAATCACTTAACAAATCTAAGATTGTGTCCTTCGGCATTAAAGTTTGACAAGTTCGCTCATCAAACCCACTGGTTTGCAAGAGCCGTATAATGTATTAAATTGACCTTTATTTGACAGTTAACAGTCTAGAGAGATACATGAATTGTGGACGTTGCTGTTATGTGGAATGCGCCCTAACCATTAGTCTACCAGATATGGGACATTTATCTGTAATTTTTGAAAGATAAGAGTCATTTATGAAAATTATTTTAAGCAGTGCTCTGAAAAAATGGGAGCCAGGCTAAATCTTGATACCAACAGAAGGCTAAAGAACTTCCTGATTCTGGTCCAGAAGCCGAGTTTACAATAAACTAGGCTTATCCAGTTAGCTCACTTAGTAAAATACCCCTCCGGAGTCAGTTCTTTGTTAATGAACAGTGTTGACTCCATACCCTCCAAAAAGTTAAAATGCAGCAGCCCTTCAAACTACACAGTACAGTTGACATGATCTGTGATTTTGGGACAGCAGGTTGTATCTTCTTGAAGCAGCTTTGCTCAGTAAACCCAAAGATCCTGGAGTGTTTTCAGCTCTTGCCGGTTACCCAAAGTGATATAGTAATACACATCTCGCGCGTAGGGAGTTAGGCCAAACCAAGCTAGATGGAGTATTAACGCATATCACTTTGACGCTGACATTTTCCAAAACAGTTTTTATGTGTGATTGTGCCTGTTTTTTTGTTTGTTTTTGTTTTCCTTTCTATTGTTGTTGAGGTGTTCTCTGTAGCATACCACAGCATCTGTTACTGCTTATTCCACTATTGTTAAAGTCGTTGGTGCCACCGTTGCTGCCGCTGTTGCTGCTGTAGCCACCGCAGCCCTGTTGCTGTGGAGCTGAACAATAACATAAGATAACATGGAGGTGCATAATGTTATTTATGTTATTCCCACCCACCCCCCACCCCCCCCCTCCCTTCCTCCCATGGTTCTTTGAAGAATCCCAGTAAACCTAGCAGTACTGAAGCTCAATGAACAAGCCGTCTTAGACAAGTTGAAAAACAAGTGGTGGTATGACAAGGGGGAGTGTGGACACAAGGACTCCGGCAGAAAGGTCAGTTTTTTAGGTCGCTCAGGCCTGGTCCCAAGGTCATGTGTTGGTTTACCCCACCCCACCCCCTGTTTCCCCCATCAGACCCACACCCCGAAACCTTAAACCACAGCCGGTACACTCTGAAAAGGAAGATGTTTTTGCAGATGTAAAGTGTTTCTAAGTGTGGTAGAAATAGTTAAAGGGTTTTTTGGCACATTATTTGGTACTAATTGGAAATTTCTATTGTCCAATTCAGTTTGTCTTTTCTTCTTTTTATGTGATTGTTTTAGATTCTAAACTTAGATAATTCCCCGAATAGCAAAAGTAGTTACTTGAATGTAACTCTGTTTCTATGAGTATATGCCTCAGTATTGATACAGACTGATTTCAGCTTCAAAGTCAGTTCAGAATATGGGACATAAATTAAGTTTGACCAAGTCTAGTCGAGTGTTTGATGACAGCATCGATATTGCTCTCATGTCCCTTAAATATAAGGTTACAGCTAGCAACTGGTTAGCTTAGCTTAGCATAAAGCTAGCCAAAGGTAACAATATCTGCCTGTAAAGCTCAGTTAATCAGAAAGCTTTAGAGTTGTGGATAGAGCCAGGCTTGCTGTTTCAACGTATTGCCAGTATTTGTGCTAAGCTAGGCTAACAGGCAGCTGGCTGTAGCTCAGTTTTTCCTGATGGACAAGAGTGGTGTCAATCTGTTAATCTAACTCTTGGGAAGACGGTGAATAAAACTATTCCTTTCAAAATGAGATGTACGACGTCAAACTTTGAAATCTAAATTCAGACTCAGTACCTGCTAGCACAAACTCTGCCTTTGTGTTTACAGTCAGAGAATTATTTTTGGTTTCCTGAAAAACTTTTTGTTTTCAGAGTGTAACGCTGCTGTTCAGCTGACCCTTCTGAAGAGCTGGAGGATGAATCAGTCAAAACTTTGATCTTGTTTTCTGATGGCGAGTGAAAACCCAATGACTCCAATTTGTACTTAACGCTTATATTCTGAGTTTATTTATTTTTTTATAAACTTAGTTTCCACAAAACTTTATGCAAATTGATGAGAAAATGAGCCGGGCTTTAGCCGACGTTTTGGAGATAAGGGGTTTTCATGGCTCCAGATCAGTAGAAATCCATCAGATTTCTTCAGAGGCTTTTCTCTGCTCAGCCTTCCTTCTGTTCTCCAGAAAATCCTGCGGTCAGCACAGTTCACTGGAAGCAGCTGCAGACAGAGTGACGGACGGACGAGCGACTCTGCTGGAAAAATGTGACTTTTTACATCACTTTACTTTTAATCGCAAATCCCGGCTGCCTGTGGGTGCTACATTTACATTTATATTTTTAGTCCATCCTGGTGGTTGTGCAGTGTCCTGGAGTTTTGAGAAGGACTCGTTTTCAGGCTCATTTTCTGCCTTTCTCCAGAGAGAAGGAGCTATTCTGCGTCAACGTGACAAATCTGGCCTGGAGGAGAAGCTCCAGACTAAAAGCCAGATTTTTTTTTCTTCTTCTTCTCCTTTTTTTTTTTTTTTTTAAACATACACGTCAGATGTAAAAAGTCAGATTTTTGAAACTGCAAATATATTTTCCTGTCTCTCTCTCTCTCTCTTGCTATCACTCTATGTCTCTCTCCCTTCCTCTCTCTCTGTTTATGGCTGCTAACCAAAAGAAATTGAAGCCACTGACCACAGCTTTACCCCCCTCCCTTTACTTCCCTTCCCACACACACTCGAACACACAAACGCTGATGTTTTTGTCTCCAATCTGTCATGTACCTCCTGTTTCCTCTGAGCTCGCTGTGTAATAGACCGTGACTAACGAACGGGGGGAAACGTTCATCAGTCTGTCGTCGGTGAGGAGAGAGAGAGAGGCGATCTTAACGTCAGACTGAAACGGCAGTGATGTGACATTACAACATAAGTGATCACTGAGAGACAGACGACCCCACAGAGACACCAGGACATGTCCACACTGATGCAAAATCATTTCCGAAACGCACCTTCGTCTACCTGATTTATTCCATTCACTCAAAGCAGACATGAAATAAAAACATTATCTTGTCTTGCTTCAGCTGTACTGTACAGATTTAAAGAATTTCTGCTTTGATGTTTTTGGGGGGAAAATGGACGTACGGTCGCCTCCAACCTCAGAATTCACTGTAAACTATAGACAAGTCTATAATATCAGAACTCCAATAAAAACTTGACAGGCTCTAAATTAGCTCTGAGGACATTATTATAATATCCTTGCTCTTTTCCACAGCAGCTATTTGTTTCTTTATAGATCGTTATGCTGCTGCAGGTGTTAATGTTCCCTTTCTCTAATTATCCTTTATCTGTCTCTTGGGACCAGGAAAGTTAATGTTGAGTTTGGGCAGATTTTCTCAAGTCAATTTCAGATTGAGTGCTACATGTTAGTCCTGCAGAGACCAGTTACTTATGCGCATTAAAAGCCCTGACTGATCCTCATCATCAGTTGAAACGGGCTTGATCTTCCACTTGACAGCAATGTGAAGAAGCAAACTTTCTATTTGTTATCAGAAACTGGACAGGTAAAAGAAAACAGGGTTTTATGGGTGAAAGAGACAATGTTCACATCTAATATCCTCAAATTTTGAGTTATAAAACACATTAACAACTAGACATATTCCTCATATGTTTTCAGTCTGACGTCTAAGCATCTTTAAGTTTTCTCAGAAGCTGATTGGCTGAGGTTACCATGACAGTTTGGAGAGGAAAGCCCACTGATAGGCTGTCCCCAACCTCACAGCGCTTCCTGTTGAGGAAAAGGCCTCGTTCACTATGAGCGCTGTTTCCTCCTGTTCGATTTTTTGTTTTGTTTTGTTTCCTAACAGGTTGCATGCTATTGGATGAGAAAGCTAAGTCATGCCACGCCCACCAAAACCAAAAAGTGATGCATGTGACGGACGAACACACAAACACTGAAACAGGAGCTCAACAGCCAATTAAAGTCCCATTGTCTTTAGTGTTTAAGAAAACTTTTCTCTGAGTTGAGAAGACAGAAGTGATATTGTACAGATATCACTCCTTTTGTTTTAATACTCAATAAAACTGTGGTGTAGAAACTGAAAGTAGAACTAAGTAGATTAAATTAATGAGATTAAGAAGAACAGCGTTGTCTGTAGAGATGAGTTTTTATTTTATTTTCCTTCATTCTGTTTGAATTTCTTTGCATGAAGCTGCATGTGACATTTAAATAAGGATTTTCAAAGGCTGTGATTTGAGGCAACGGAGACGAGGGATGAAAATTAAAGGGCTTCTTCACCAATTTAGTGCTTCACTTCCATAAAGTTTATTAAAGACAGATTAATAGAAGAATATTCAAAGATATCCAGAGTTTTGATCTGCAGGATACTACATTTCCCACAGTGCAACGGAATAGCATCTGCAACGGGAGAAGCTGCTGGTTCTGGAAGTTTTTTTTCCCCAGTTCTGTATTTACAATAAGCACCATTGGTACAGAGCAGTAATTCAAAATACTTTGTTTTTGATTTAATGAAAAACACGTCGCCATATTTGCTCTATTCACCCAGGATTGGCAAGCTAATTGATTTTAAGGTCAGTGATTGGACGTTTCTAGCTGAAATGCACCTTGGGAGTTGTAGTAAACTTCTCTCTTGTAGTTATTTTGTCCACATGTTTGTACATTTGATATTTTATAAAGCGCCTGTTCATATTTGTACTGTAGCATCGTCTATGGAGAAAAATGAACAGGACTTTTACTTCCAGGACCGGGGGTTTTCACGGGCCGAGTAAAAAGCCCCGTGATGAATAAATTGATCTTGATGTTGCCCCTGTGTCACAGCCTCTGAAAGCTGAGAGTGTCTTAGTGAGAAGGATGTTTGTTTTTATGTTAGCTTTGGAGATTATGATGATGTCCTAGATCATATGAACCGGTTTAGCTTCAGACGATCCAGAATTCAAACTGTAGCGATGTGACGACTGTCTGCGCCGCGATTGGTTGCCCCTGACCCCGCCTCTCTGTGCTGACAGGACAAGACGAGCGCTCTCAGTCTGAGCAACGTGGCGGGAGTGTTTTATATTCTGATTGGCGGGCTTGGGCTGGCCATGCTCGTGGCTCTGGTCGAGTTCTGCTACAAGTCCCGGATCGAGTCGAGAAGGATGAAGGTGAGTCCAGTTTGTTAGCTGTCCTAAGACCTGGTCCAGAGGTTCTGTTTTATTTTATTTTCCTTCTGTTTAACGGGTTTGACAAGGTGATTATTTTTGGTCAAACTGCTGTTGAAGAGTTCTGTTGACGAGGCCGAAATTGTTTGGTCTTCTGCAACCACGTAGTTATTATCCATCTTGAGCTAATTAAACTAGCCTAACTTTTAACCACAGACGTTATCACTCGATCATGATTGGACCAAAAATAGTCACGTGATGGAAGTTGGAATACAAGTGAAAAAGGTATAATGTGTAATGATTACAAAATATACAGCTTGGTCGAACTTTAAATGGAATAAATTTTATTGATTTACATGTTATAGGGTTAATTGTGATGGGTTCAGTCTTGGCTTCAGAGTCGTTAATGTTTTGCCATGGAGTATCGTAAAGCCGGTGAACTGGTAACCAGAAGAGAAGTCAGTTCATCCTGAGGGGAACATGAACGTCTGAACCGAATGTCATGAAAATCCATCTAATCACGCTTGAGATATTTCAGTCAAAACCATAACATGAACTTCGTGGTGCCGCTGGAGGCAGAAGTCACTTGACAATGAAAGTCAGAAGGGATCATCCTCTGGAGAACATGAAGGTCGCGGTGGTCCATCAAATAGTTGTGGAGAAATTTGAGTCTGGACCAAAGTGGTGGAATAAAAATGTGATCAGAGATTGGTGAGCTGCTCTGATTAATTCCCACAAAGGAAACAAATGATCGGTTGAGACGTCAATTGTCTCTTTATCAATCAGTGACTGGATGATTGTTTAGATAATGACCACTCATTATTAATCTGTGGTCTTTATCAGAGGTGTTGTTTGTTTCACTGTGGGAAACCTCCATGTAATTTACTCTTTACTTCCTCTTTAACCTCAGTAAATAAAGACATTTTCAACTGGAGTTTCTTTCACTCACTAAACCTGGACACGAGTCGAGTTTATCTTCGTTAGACCGGAGAACCGTTCATGGTTTCCGTCTTTCAGAACCGTGTCCATCGGGACCGTTGTCTTCGCTGCGTCTCTGGTGTTAAAGTGGTTCTTGATCGAGCAGATTAACAGCAGCCACAGGGCGGGAGCATCAACATTACTGCCCTGTGAAAGTGCTTCAGCTGAATTCTTTATCTGACACTCTGCTCTCGAGCTGCTCTTTATCGCCGGCGTCTGTATGTGATGAAACTGCAGTCGCCTCATTACAGACTGGGGTGGTTTTATACTGAGACTTTGATGGGCTTCTCAAAAGGAACAAACAAGTCATTAGAGCCATTTTCTCCACAGCAGAGGCAGCAGTCTGTTACCCTCCTCTCTGCTGGACTTTTGTTATTCTCTTCACATGTGCGTGTGAGCACAAAGCGAGGACTTGAAAACCCTCCGCTGAAGGCGGCGGTGACACAACGTGTGTGGAGGATTTCATCAGTCGGAGCAGATGGAGGAGCGTGCGGAGCAGGGTTACACTGCGGTTACCTGCTGCAGAGGTAGATGTATGCACACGGAGCAGCACTGCAGCACAGAGGGCGAGGAATCAATACAGCTACCTACCTCCACACATCCTCTTCTGACACATCCAGACCTGGGACAGAGACACTGCAATTTGTTCTCCTGTAACACTGTCAGGATTTCAGACAACCTTTTATCACTTTATCGCTTCCTGACATTTCACTTATTACAACACAAGCGAACATGTAGCGACACAGTGGAAGAGGCTTGAGGTGGAGTGTCTATGTCCAGGCCAACAGCTCTGAGGCTGTGTGGAGGCACGGCAGTGTCTGCGTGGTAAAATACTCATGGTGATGCTGACATGCTGATGTTCAGCAGGTATAATGTTGCGTTCACCCATTTAATCTGGGGGTGCTACCATGCTAACATACTAATTAGCACCAAATTCAAGAATGTTTGGAGTCTAGCAGGTATTTTGGTCATGAACCGAAATATTGGACAAATAGAAACTGAAACAAAGAAATGATGTGGTGTCCACCAAAGTGGTCAGGGTTTATCCTCTAACCTCATGGCGGCGCTGCAGTGTGGCAGTGTCGGTCTGTTGGATGAGTCCGCCGCTCCGGTCCAGACTGAAATATCTCAACAACTATTGGACGAAATACCATAAAATGTTGTACAGACATTCATGATCCCCAGAGGATGAATCCCGCTCACTCTGCCGATCCTATGACTTTTCATCCAGCGCCATCGTTAGGTCAAAGTTGGAATTTGTTCAATTCTTTTTATGAGTAAAAATAATGACTTTCCCATCAGCCTCAGCTGGACTTTGAGTTAGCATGCTAACATGCTAAACTAAGACCGTGAACACATTAAACATTATAAGCTGAACACACAGACATGTTGCACATATTTTTTGATTCAATGTGATTTACACCTCCAGAGGAAGTCCTTATCTCTGATGTGTTCCTTCTACCTGCAGAACTTTACTCTGTACGTTCACTGCAAACAGGAAGTGCTGATAACTAATCACTAAGGGACAAAATGTAAACAAGTACTGGGCTCAAGTTGACAGTCCACAATTAATTTCTAATTTAAAAATGAATAAATAATCGGCGTGTTTTTATTTTCTTAATCACTTTTTTCTGTGTGAGATGATTTGATTGTTAAAAGACAAACATGACCCTCGATTTTGACTCTGATTCATTAACGTCACTGTGTTCGTCAGTGTAAATTTTCCCCTTTCTCTGTCTTGCAGGAGCTTATCGATGCCGCCATGATGAGCACCAGCCTTGGCGGGATGGGAGGAGGAGGAGGAGGAGGCAGTGGCGGCGGCGGCATGGCGGCGGTGGGCGTTTTAGGAGGAGGAGGCGGAGCGTCGGGACTCGGAGGCGAGAATGGACGCGTGGTGGCGCACGACTTCCCAAAAGCCGGAGCTCAGGGTTTACCCTGCATGAGCAAGGCAGCCGGCCTGGGACTGTCCTCCACAGGCATGTGATCCAAACCGAGAGTCCTGATTGGACAGAACGCTCCTGTCTGTCTGTCTGTCGGTCGCTGAGGAAGGGAAGGAGAGAAGTGGATGGAGGGAGGAAAGATGAGAGAATAAGAAAAGAGGAGGTAGAGATCAAGGAAGGAGGAGATGGAGGAGGGAGGGAGAATGGATGAAGGAGAAAGAAAGGAGGATAAAGGGAGAAGGAGTGATGGAGAAAAAGGTGGAGGGGGCAGGAAGGAAAAGGGAGGAGGAAAGATGAGAGAATAAGAAGTGGGAGGTAGAGAAAGAATAAAGAACAGATCGAGGAATGAGAGGAGAGGAAGAAAGAAAAAGGATAAGGGGAGGAGGAGAGAGGAGAGAACAAAGAAGAGGAGGAAGGAGGGGTGGATAAAGAAAGAAGAAATAGATCGGAGGTGGGAGAAGAAAGGATGTGAGGGAGGAAGGAGGGGTGGATCAGAGAGTGAAGGAGAGAAAAACGAGAGGAGGTAAAGAAAGAGGAGGAGAGGAGATCTCAGGAAGGAGAGAACAAGAAGGAAAGGTGAGAGAAAGCGATAGAAGGAAGGAGGAGAAAAAGAAAGAAGGAAGGATGTGAGGGTAGGAAAGAAAGGAGGGAACAATAAGAAAGACGTGAAGGAGAAAAGATGAAAACACCCGACAGGCCGACAGACGGAGGAGTGTTCACATTCACCCGAACAGACTGTATACAACAGAACTCTGATGAACAGAGAGCACCTGAACGCAACACCTGAGCTGAACTGGGACTGAGCTCCTGCGAGACGAGCACCTGGGCTTAACGAACTTTTTCTACGAGCGCTGTCTTAAACGAAACTCCTCCTCTGCAATAACAGAACCTGAGGAGGAAACAGAGGGGGGGCGGGCGGGGGGGAGTTTTTTTAACTTTTAAAGACTGAATTCATGCACCCTCCTCTTCCTCTTTCTTTCTTCATCCTCCCCTTCACTCCTCCTCCTCCTCCTCCTCTTCCTCCTGTTCAGCAGTAACACTGAGAGTTTCGTCACGTTCGCACAAAAAGCCACTTTCATATCGGAGAGTTTGAGCATGTCGACGTTTTAAACCTTTTTACTCTGAGACACAAACGAACACTTGAGCTGACGATGAGTGAAACAGCTGAGGGACGAACGCACGAGTCACATGATTCATTTTGGCACTAAATCCTTTTTCTTTTCTTTTTTCTTTTTTTGCCGTTGAAAGTAGATTTAATGGCGAATCTACGCTGACGAGATGTTGACGTTAGATCAACAAATAAAAATAAAAAAATGGCCGTCACAGTCTCACAGAGTCCGAGGCGACGTCTTGATCAACTTTTCAAACCCTAAAAAAAAACAAAAAAAAACGAGGAGCAGGAGTTTTCATTTTCTGTCGATCAGCTAATCAATTAATCATCTTGATTTTAACTTCAGCTGTAGAGAAAGTTTTGGTAACTCTTTAAAAATCCAGCCGGCGACTCACAGTGTGATTGTGTATCAATCAGTCATCAATAAGATCCTGACTGCAACAGGAAGAAAAGAAACATGGAGGTTTGTTTTAGAATAAAGGAAAAATAAATGTTTTTTATGGTTTAATGGATTTCACAGCTGCGATACTCCACCACAGATCTGAGGGAGGGGGCTTTACGTAAAGGGGGTGTACATCTATAATAATGTTAATTATTAACGGAGCGCTGAGCCCGCTGTTCTGTGGTCAAAGATGACGCATTACGAGCGGCGCCGATGGTGTGAAATGAAACACCATTCATGTTTGTTTTCATCTTCTGGTTTAATATGTGATCAACCCAGAACAAGATCATCAGTCTTAATGATATTCTCTGTTTTCCCTCCAGAAACAGGAGAATGAAAATAACAGTAAGAAGATCATTGAGCAAAGAAACACAAGTTTTATTTGGGTTTTAACTTTTAAGTCCCTCTAAACTTCTGTTTATCCGGTTGGAAAGCGGCGTTGGCAGCAGTGAAACCGGAGATCTGTGTTGCCAGATCTGCCCAGAGTATGAGACAGAGTTTCAAATAAATTTTTCTCCTGATTTTGTCTGAAAAATGACATTTCCCCGCTCAGGTTCACCTCTCCCACGGGAGTGAACGGACTCTGACCTGCTGCTGGTCTCCTGAAGGGGGCGGGGAGGAGGAGACACCATGTGACACGGATACAGGAAGCGATTTGTGAAGTGTCCTTTCTCGACCGCCTCTGCGACAGTGTGAAGGTGCTGTTCCTTAAAAAATGTTCATCAGGTCAGTTCCCCGACAGAAACACAATGTCCAGTAAACAAGCAACATAAAATACATCTTACAGAGTTCTGCAGATTATTATAATTCCCAGTATTAAACCGACCAAACGAAAACTTTTCCTCTAAGATGTCCAGGTGTTTCTCCCTCGTTCTCTCCCACTGACTCTACGTTAAATATTTGATCGGTTCACGACTCATTCACACTGTAAATCACCGGCTGTCGTTTATAAAATCGTGTCACATGTGGGAGGGAAAACTTGCTGCAAATAAATAAAACACAAGCAAACTGAGAAACATAGTCTTCACCTCTTTGACGACACATCCAGCAAAAATAAAAAACTGATGCTGCAAACACACGAGATTTCACCGTTTCCCTGGAAACGTCACAAGGTTCTGTTCAACTTTGTTTTGTTTCCTTTGTGTTGTTAAAGATGTTTGTTCGTTTGTTTGTTTTCTTCAGTTGCAGGAGATTAAACACTAAACGTCACCGTGACTAAACACAACTCACGTTCATGTCGCCATGTTGGTTCATTTCCAGGAACAGACACGATGAGGGTGAATATTCCTTTAAACTGGAGGCGTTTACATGATCCTGTTTAAAATACCCTCAGAAACGTCAGCATTTACGTCCCCCGGCCGTGCTGACCAATCAGCTGCTTGCGTCGAGGTCGGTCACGTGTTTCTGCGTCTCTCTCCTGTATTTTCTCCTCAGTGTTTTTGCGGGGGGTCGGTCACGTGACGAGGCGGCAGCACGGCAGAACTTTTTATACTCTGAAACCGAACAAATATCAGGAATCAACACGTCCACATTTGTATGATATGAATGAAACATGTGCCGAGCTACACCTGTAAATAATGTTCTTTTTAATTGATTTATGAGTTTATAATCTTTTGAGTTTGTTGATTACATTCAGATCAGTAGCTATTTAATAAAAACTCTTACATTATCTCGACTTCTGTAGTTCTTTCCGTTTCATGTTGACAATCTCCACACGAGAGTCACTTACCGGCTTGTTCCGGAGCTTTCAACCACAGCACATGGGCTGAAACATCGTTAATGTCACGTTTCCTTCAGAATGCATTTGGAGGCAACAAACTAATTCATTCCAGATTCATAGCTCAGTCCTGAAGCTCCGTCTGTTTGGTGGATTTTATGTTATTTTGGTTAAAATTAAAATTAAATTTTCTGAGCCAATTTGAAGAGATGCTTAAAAAATAAATTTAAATTATTCTCTAGTAAAGTTTAAAGGGGCTATTTGTAAGTTTTCTCGACATGGTGATTGTAGCTTGACAAGAGCTTCAGCCATCGTTGCGTTTGGAAGACAAAACGTTATAATACGTCCTATGAGAAAAGCTACATCGTCAGGGCCGACAAGAGGCTGCAGTGAGTTACTAAACTGATTTCAGGTAAAACACTCAGAGAAACCAAATCCTGCGAGGTTTGGATGGTGGGTCCAGGTGGGCGGGGCTTGGTCACTGCTTTGTTGTGACATCACAAAGTTCCAGAAGTCCTGACGGCTGGTTTTAAGGCTCAGTTTCTGAATACAGGCTGTGTGCATTTCTCTGTGGACTGAGGCTTTGATACTTTCACAGTATTAATATAGAAGCTAGACCTGATCTATAATCACACTACACATGGACACAGACCTTTACACTGGAGGAGCTTTAAAATATTAACTTCTTTTTTCAGTAGCCTCATTTTCCCTGTTTTTAAATGACAAAACTGGATCAAAGCTCACCTGAAGTTCTCAGCATCAGCGAGTTCACAGCGTTTGAAGACAAACTATTTTTGTCTGGTGTGACTGTATCCCACCGTGTGCACCTTTCAGAGGGAGAGACTCTAATTTGGTTTTTAGAAACATGAACATTAGTTTACTTTTAATGCTCATAATGGAACATTTCAATATTGCAGATAAAACCCTCCCCATGTGGGAGTCCAGGGTCATAAAATGATATTAGGGCCTTACAGATAAAACATGTATTAGTTGGAATGATTTCCAGCCCTTGTCTCTAAACCATTCTTCTAACTGCAGCGTTAAAATCTTCTGTGTATTTTCCTTAATCATCGCTTTGTGAAACATGATATAATTTGTTGATGCTCAGAGACGCTTTAAACTCTTTATCTGGATCCTGCTCATGATAAAACTCTGTAGGTCAGTACACATCTGTCGGCTGAGTCTCTCCTGTTTAAGTATCTACTGATGAACCTTTTCGGGCTCAGGACAGCAGACTGAGACTGTGAAACTCTACGTCTCGTTACAGACGTCAACCTCTGAGAGAAAAGTTTTGAACGCTGCTAAAACGACTGAGTACAAAAACATGAAATGAGACGGCAGGAGTCGTTCTGATGAGCAGCATTCCCCAAACATCCACTTTAGAGACGATCAACAGGGAAATCTGAGCTGAGCCGAGAAACTGTGACGGATCAGAGAAAACCTCACTCAGCGGTTGAAATGATAATGTGACAGACTGGATCCGCTGTCACCTCACTGACGCTGCCGAGGAAAACCACCCTGCAGGAAGCACGACGCATCAACACCATCGATACTCCTGAGGTGGAAAATCTGAAGGTTGTTTTGTGAGATTGGATGACAACAACGCTGCTCCTCGGGAAACCGAAGTCCGTCAAGACGAGTGAGGAGTTTTGTTTCATGCGTTGAGGAAAAACAACTGGTTCTACTGTTGATTTGATTCATGACAAAAAGCCTTTTGACAGCTGCGAGCCACATGACGTACAGTTGAGAAACACAAATCACATGACCATTCACG